ATAATTCCAGTAGCGAGAAATTATTACAGAAGAAACTATTAGAAAAGTGTTTACGGATATATCTAGCCATCTGATCTGTAAAAACGACGAGACCTAGCTGCCAAACTAGTACTGCGTTTAAATTCAGAAAGTCGAGGCATCAAAGAGAAAAAAAAAACACATCAGAACAATTAACACGAAAGTATATGAAAAAGACACAAGGAAGCTACAGTATGGCGGTGGGAAAGCGATTGAAGTCGAAATGCCAGGTCAGGATCCATAACATTGCAGATACTTTTTTGGATTGTGTCAAGAATCACTAGATATTAGCAGAAGCAGACCAGATGTGGCAGTAAATATTCAATGTATGGGCGAATGGTAGTCATGTAAAAAGTGAAATACAGATTCTGTCGAGTAAGATTCTCTAGCACGACACAGTAAACCAACTTTCCCAGCAGCAGGCTTAGCAGTTCATTCATTATGTCAGGCGAGACAATTTTTCTCTCCACAATTTATCTAACGGATCTATAAGTCAATAACTTGTCCATGTTTAGAATATTGCTGCCACATATGGACCGATGCCCTTGCTAGTTACCTTGAGCTCCTTGATAAAATCCAAAGAAGAATAAGCTATATTACTGGTCCTGATCTGGTGGCTCGGCTTTAGTCACTTGCTCATTATCATAATGTTGTCTTTTCTATAAATATTTTCATGGTAATTGTTCAGATGAGCGCTTCGATATGGTACATAGAGACATTGGGGCAAGTTTTTAAAATTGTTGTTTTATTCCCCTCCCCGCACAGACAATGAATTGTAAATATGGGGAAGAGTTAGTATTTTCATAGAGACAAAGAGGTATTATGGTGATTGTAGTAAGAAAGGTAGGTAAGAATGTGTTGTTTTGGTGTAAGCAATATTGTTTGGGTCAGTGTTTGCGGCTAGCTAAGTTATAGTTAAGACAGAAGAAGGCCGTCCTTTTCCCTAATCCCCTTTTCGGCCTTGTGCCACATTTCTGTAGAAAACAGAATAAATATCACTCTTCGGTATGGTACCTAGACTGTATGAATTTAATCGCAGCACTAGACTGGCGCCGAGATTTCATCAATTTACAGTTGAATCGGCTTGATGTAATCGTATTTTACTTCTCGCTTGTGGAGCTCCCTTCTGGCCCCATGCTTTTTTTAAATCTTCTAATATGTAAATCCAATGCCATTCACTAATATGCACCTGATGATCAATGTTTCTGTTCCTAATTCTTCCACACCCTGAAAAAATGTTGAGCTCCTGCCCCCAATCTTGTACTATGTTTAAATTCATGAAATCTAGGTAGCATAGTTTTAGCGGTTATAATAATATCTGGAAGAAATTCTTGTATATTCAATATCCCCATAATTTTGCTGTAAGATAGGGGTCCATCTTTTTTCAATATATTATAATCATTTGGCTCAAAGTTCGTATTTTCTTAATGTCAAATGAAAACCTGGAAGATATCCAATATATTTCTGTGGTGCTTTCAATTTCGAAAATTATGGCTTGTAATTATGGTGTAGATTTATGGAAAAAGAAAGATCTAGGTTGAAACAGACGCCAGCAAGATAGGGTTTAAGCAACACACTTTTACCTTAAGTTTGTTCGTATTTTCGTAATTTAAGATGAAAAATTTGGAAATTTCCCAACATATTCCAATGAAATTCTCACTTTCTAAAATTATTACTTATAATTATATTTTAGATATATAGAACAAAGTAAACGTAAGGACATTATACGTGGACGTGATAAATTTCTCTTTCTTTTTCTTTTTATGTGCCGTGTCCTTTCAGGACGTAGGCGATCATGGCTCTCCACTTCCTCCTGTCCCTTGCAGCTGTCAACAAATTCTACCTCTCTGTCAACCTTCGAGACCACATTCTCATATTCAGTTGCTTAAACCCGCTAGGTAATGCGTTGTTTTCCCTTGTCTCTCTTCCCACCTATTCGACTTGTGAGTATCAGATTCTCAAGGCCTTCCTTCCTCATTACATGACACAGAAAATTCAGCTTTCCCGATGTTATGTATGAGCCCCCTCTTTCTTTACAGCCAAAAACCTCCTATTCAAATGAAGAAAATTAAATTTTCTGACATATTTCAGCGTAACGTACATTTTCCAAAATTATAGTTCATAATAATATTTTTAAGGTAAGAGCGCTGATCAAAAATATCGGGATTGGTTCTATAAAAAGAAAACTACAACACATATGAATCCACCATTTAATCTCCTTCGAAATACTTCTCTGAAGCTACACTCTTTACACAGCGTCGATTGCACTGATAGACGATTTACCGGAAATCCTTTAGTTCTCATTACGTCTTCAAGGGTGATAGCACAAGGTCCAAGGATGGAGGTCTCTTGCTTTATGTGTTATGTGTGGGCGTGGTCTATCAGGGACGTAAGGGCACTACGTGTACTGCAACCGCAATAGAAATGGTGCTTCTTGGGGAAGATAGCCTGAGGGAGTCCAACCCTCCCCTAGCCTGTTTGAATTCAGATTTTACACTCTCCTACACGGACTGTAACATAGAACCCAGTCTTTCTTGCAAATCTTTTTCTGCCCGCCTCCATAGCTGGTGGGTGGGAAAGAAGAGGATTCATATCTTTCCAAGGGTAAGTGAATGTAATGTATCCTACTGGAATTTGAACTCTGCACTCTGATTCCTCAATCGGAGCCACTATCCACCGTGCTTCCTTGTTAACTGAGCAGGGAGTTAAATGAAAATGTATCGCAATATTTGTGTATAGCGAAACAATTTTGAAACTTTTTTTACTAGTTGTACCATCATTAAAACGTATAGTACATATATATATATATATATATATATATATATATATATATATATATATATATATATATATGTGTGTGTGTGTGTGTGTGTGTGTGTGTGTGTGTAAAATATATAGAAAATAGGAAAGAACTCGTTAGATAAATAATCCAAAGTTCTTTAGTATTTTTTGTTATTATTTTAAAAAAAATAGTGCTCGATACAAAAGTAGAGCATAAATATAATTATTTATTTAAAAATATGATTCCAACGCTTCATAAGAGTGGCCCAATTTTTTTATTTAAAGCACTTATTTTCCTAAATAATTTTAGAATTCAAGCGAAATTTTTTTAGAATCAAAAATTTCACTTGAAGATGGAAGAGAGCTTGTACTTTAATTCAATTTAATTAAAATAATTATATTGAAGTTTTCGTTTTCTTGTTTTTGAAACATGAGAACTCATATAAGTGTTGGAATCATATTTTTAATAAATAATATATATATATATATATATATATATATATATATATAAAAGTCACTTACTATATATATATATATATATATATATATATATATATATATATATGAATGTGTGTACACTGTACACCTATATTTGTAGATAGTTCTTATTTTCTTTCACTTAATGTACAATTAGGCGTATATTTGTGTTTGGAATTTTCGTTTTTTATATATTAGATGGTGTTATTTTTATACGTATATATCTATTTTAACGTTTCTGTTCTATTAGACCATTTTTATCTATGTATATTTGCCCGTATAAGTTATCTTTTAACATGTGGTTAGAATTTGTTTAATAACACCATCAATCTTGAATATTTCTTAAGTGTTATATCACAGTGTCTATGTCAATGTATGTGGATATATGTACCTATCTTTTTCGGTGTCTGTGTATAGTAAATTGCATGCACATTTCATTGTGTATGTGAGTGGTTTAATTTTTTTTTTTTTTGTAAAAGGTCGTGCAAATATTTCCTGTCTCTTTTTTGTGTGTATATATCTAAATATGCCTGCGTGCTTATGTATCGTAATCTGATTCTGTTTGTATTGTCTTTCACAAGATGTCATAATACCATGTATACACCTGCATCCATGTTGTCATTAAGTTATTAGACATTCTAATGGGTGGAGGGGGCAGGGATTGTTCTCTGTGGTGATTAATAGAGTGCAGTTTTGTTTTTGACGCATTAAAGTTAATCAGCAAATTCCTACCCCAGTCGACAACCGATTGGGGTCCTTTTCCAGACAAACCGCCAGGGTAGTTTTGTCAGCGACATTAGATTTGTTTTTGAAGCAGGAGTAAATAGAAGTTTCGACATAATCTTCTTTTTCTTCTTCTTTGAGATTATCATCGACAACTTTTTCATAACATTTTTTTCTCTTTGCCATTCCACGCGTCTCCATTTTTTTCTTTCAATACCTTTTCAACTTCCTCTTCTTTAATGTTTCACCTTCTTGTTTTTTTATTCTTCTTTTCATTCTTTCTTCTAATACACATACACTTCTTCAATGACTCTTCCGTCAGCTCTTTTTCTCTTCCCCATTCGTCAGCTCTTTTTCTCTTCCCCATTCGTCGCCTCTTTTTCTCTTCCCCATTCGTCGCCTCTTTTTCTCTTCCCCATTCGTCGCCTCTTTTTCTCTTCCCCATTCGTCGCCTCTTTTTCTCTTCCCCATTCGTCGCCTCTTTTTCTCTTCCCCATTCGTCGCCTCTTTTTCGTCAACGTCTTCTTCTTGAACTTTTTTCCCCCCTCTTTTTCCGCCTCTACGAATTCTCACCCTTTGAGAAGTCATGAAATTGCGCTACTCAATAGGCTAGAAGAGAAATCAGTCAGCGGACTGAAAGTAAATTGAGATGATGCAAGAGAAACAAGGCCAGCTGATCAGCGAATCGCAAATCGCCGGTGGGTGTTTCGATGGATCGTTTGAATGAAAGAATCAGTTAAAACACCCGTGCTTTCTTGTATTCGCTAAATAATCGTTTCAATTCTTTTTTCAATTTGTTATTATTATTATTATTATTTTTTTTTAATTTTTAATGAGTTCGTTTTCATTTTGGTTAGCTTTTCCGGAAGGAGTTGATGAAAGATGATCGACTCCAGATTAATCATTTTCTTTTAATTTTCCGCCTTCCTTCTTCTTATTAAAACGTGATTAAAGTAATTACATTTATTTCCTCAGCCTACGTAAAGAAAATCAGGAGGTGTTTACCCTCCCCAACCCTGCGGCGGCCAAAATATGAAAATTTGTTCGTTTCCGTGTTCCTGACGATAGTCGAGTTCGCGTCCAGCAGAGGAGATTGGAGCAAAGGAAAGGAATGGGGAAGAACATTTGAAAAAAAGCAGAAAAGAAAGAAAGAAAGTGAAGGGGGGAAAGGGAAAGACAAAGGGAAAAAAAAAGAAAGAATGAAGAGAAGAAAAGGGGAATGGAAAATGAGGAGGAGGAGGTAAAAGAAAAAAGAAAAGAAAACAGAACTGAGTTGAACGAGTTTTTAAAAAAAAGGGAAAGTGATGAAGAACGACAAGAAGAAGAAGAAGAAGAAGAAGAAGAAGAAAGTGGCCCTATGTGTATAGGGCGGAAGAGAAAAGAGGAATAATTTAATAATAATAATAATAATAGTAATATTTAATAATAATAATAATAATAATAATAATAATAATAATAATTAATAATAATATTTTATAATAATAATAATAATAATAATAATAATGCTACAATTACAGAAAGGCGTAATTTAAGAATATAAAAATATAAAAAACACAGATTTTAAAAATATTTAGCAATATTTCAATAGTAAGCCTGTCTTCAGTTTTTAAACATATCATAGTTATAAAACTATGAAAGATACACGTATTAAAATAATAATAATAGAAATAATAATAATAATAATAATAATAAGTACAGCACACACACTAAGGAGAACTTTGTCTATGTAACGCTAGCAACTTCATCGGAGATAAAAAAAAAAAAAAAAAAAAATTAACATGAAATGTGGCCATAACAACACACCACGACCTGCCTTAGGTCTTTCCGCAGACTTGGTAGGTAGTGTGTCCATAGCAGAAATAATAATAATAATAATAATAATAATAATAATAGAGTCTTTTCACTAGGAATTTTCAGGCAAATATCATACATAATAATGTGGATCCAAAATGCAGGTTCTGTGACAAATACCAAGAAACAATAGACCATCTAATCTCAGGATGTTCTATATTTGCCCCAAATGAATATAAAAATCGTCACGATAGAGTGGGGCAATACTTACACTGGACAATGTGCAAACACTTTGGAAAATGTGTAAGCAAACACTGGTATGAACATCGGCCAGCGCCGGTTACAGAAATAGAAGATGTCACCATTCTATGGGATTATACCATCCACACAGACAGAAAAATTGAAGCAAATAGGCCGGACATTATTGTCAAAAACCAGAAAGAAAAAAACTTGCCTACTAATTGATATGGGTTTGTCCAGCGGATTGTAACATAGCAACCAAGGAATTTGAAAAACTATCAAAAATACAAAGACCTGGAAATTGAAATAGAAAAAATGTGGAAATTGAAAACAAGAATAATACCAGTGGTAATAGGTGCACTTGGAATTATAAAAAATGGAACAAAACAACACATTGAAAGAATCCCTGGAAACCCCAGCTTAAGAGACATACAGAAAATTGTCTTATTAAGTACAGCACACACACTAAGGAGAACTTTGTCTATGTAACGCTAGCAACTTCATCGGAGATAAAAAAAAAAAAAAAAAAAAATTAACATGAAATGTGGCCATAACAACACACCACGACCTGCCTTAGGTCTTTCCGCAGACTTGGTAGGTAGTGTGTCCATAGCAGAAATCGAATGATGATGATGATAATAATAATAATAATAATAATAATAATAATTGGTATGAACACCACCCAGACCAGGTTAAGGAGATAGGACCTGTTTCAATTCTATGGGACTACACAATACACACTGACAGAACAATCAAAGCCAACTGCCCAACATTGTTATTAAAGACCACAAAAAAAAGCCTCCTTATTGATATGGCAGTCTCTGCAGGCTGCAATGTAATTTTGAAAAAAATCAAAAAGCTGTCAAAATACAAGGACGTTGAAATAGAAATCTCAAAAATGTGGCACATGGGAACATCAAGAATCCCTGTTGAAGTTGGAGCCCTAGGATTGGTTGGAAAAGATTCCAGTAAACTAATTGAAGAGATTCCTGGAAGTCCATGCCTCAAAGAGATACAAAAAATTGTTCTGTCAAGTACAGCCCACACTTTACGAAGGGCTTTATCTATGTTATATTTTTTTTTTTTTTTCTCAGTGGAAAATGTCATGTCATGTCATGATGCCATTTCTAACCTTAGGTCCCTGGACGGGACACGGAAAGAAATGTTTAAACGCCAGAAATCAAAGGCAATAATAATAATAATAATAATAATAATAATAATAATAATAATATTGAATGCTTCATCTTCACTGTCAGAATATGAGACGTTCAAACGACTATTCCTTCGGTCATCATTGGAGTCGACACAATGGAATTCTTGCGTTAAAAAAAATAGGAAAAATGCCTATTATCACATCGCTTCAGAAGTCTACAATGATTGACAGTGCCACACTTTTGATTAAAGTTCTTCTTCTATCTGCCCGAGAACGCAGGGCACACCCAGAATAAAAGACCTACAGTTGAACACCAAAAGCGATTAAAAGATAATCATTTCACGCCAAGCAATGCGAGAGTGCCAGTAGTACGCAGAGGTTTGCAGAGAGTGAAAGCAAAAGAGAAAACGTAGAATAGGGAGGATTGAGAAAATAGGAAGAAGGGGTTTCTTGAAGACAGAATATGGTGTTTGATGTTGGATTTAAATTTTTGAAGATTATAATTCTCAGGGAAGCACGTAAACGGGAAAGTAGGAAGTCGGAGAAAAGAAACTGTTGGAGTAAAAGTTGGCGGTTTGCATTTAGCCATTTCAACTGTAAAACGGTGGGACCTAAAATGCCAATCTAGCAAAAGGCTTAAATTCAAGTAGTCAGAGCACAAGTTAAAAAAGCTCTTCAGAACAGTTGCCATGAAAATATTTTAGAAAAGACAGACGGAAGAAACGTCAGGTCGGTGAGAAAGTGACTGAAATCGAGATGCCAGGTTAGGATCGGTTACATTACAGAAACTTCTCTGGATTTTGTCAAGAATCTCAAGATGTTCAACAGGAGCACCAGACCAGATATGGCAACAGTATTCAATGCACGGATGAATGATCGATTTGTAAATGTGCAAGATGGATTCTAACGAGAAAGATTTTCTGGTCCGAATCAGTGAACCAACTTTCCTTGCAGTAGATGCATCTACTGATTCGATGTAGTCGCTTCTCTTTAAGTAAATGAAAAACTTGAGACCACTATGCGCAGTGTGTTTCTCTCCTAGATTCTTGCGTAATAATAATAATAATGATAATAATAATAATATATTTAGAGTTGGCTAACATTTTATAGAATGAATAATCATACGGACCAATCATATCAAATATGGCGACGTGGAAGAGTGTATCTGCTTGCCTTTAATTACAGAATCATCGAATTAAACTTTTAACCTACGACGCCAGGATATTAATGTTCCTCAAATTCGCAAAGAGCCGGGAGATATTTGTGATCCATTATCGTATTATAGAATTAGGCTAGGTACATTAAATTGTCGTCTACGTTATTAACACGCAAATGCTGAATTATATTTTACGGTATATACTCGTGTATAAGACGACTTCATGTCCAACCCCTGAATACTTTTGTGGAAAACCTGATTTTATTCTTATAGGTAGTGTATAATGCAACTTCATCTCCTGAGCAACAATAGTAGGTGTACACTCGTCATGTATTGCAGTAGTGGTCATCACCGTAGACATATTTTATAGCAAATAAAAAAGGTCTTCATGCTTTTTTGTACTAAGCTACCCCAAATGGTCAGAAATAATACCTACCATAAAATATTTGATACACAGATTTAGATAACATATATTTGTTTTCCTTCATGGCTGACTATATTAGCTTCTTTAAAATGGGCCTGCCACATACGTAGCATATGTTTCTTCGCTTTGGTCGTCACGTAAAAAGCAAAACTTCATGCACTTAAAATCAAAAGTTACACCTTATAAATGAAGAATTAATAGTTTTTTTTTCTCCAATCTCAAATTTAGATTCATCTTTGTTGAGAGAATGCGTTAGAGAATACTTTCTGCTATGGTAATTGGGGAAATGAGGAAGGAACTAGAGACAGATGACAGCGAGTCCCAGCAAACACTCACGTTGTTCCTTCTTGCATATATACAGGTATATATATGTACATATATGTATTTTTTTTCCACCTATTCTGATTGTACCTTTCTCTGTTTTAAATTTGAATCTCCCGTGGAAGCCTGATGAGCGGGAGCGAAACCGGTTGCTCCCCCCACCCTTGTTGTTGAGTGTTTTTTTTTATTATTTAACATTGTTTTAATATGTCTTGTAATATTAAATTTTACACTTTTATTTCGATCATTAAATTTTGTACCTACAAAAATCTTTAAATATATATATATATATATATATATATATATATATATATATATATATATATATATATATATATATGAAACTGGCATCACACGGGTATTAGATTCTGAGAAAAAGATAAAATATTTAAAATTGATAGGGGGTACGAATAGTTTTGTCGTTGAATATATATATGTCCGCAAATCAATCATTTTTGAGTTATTACGTTTAAAAAAAGTTTATGCTAGATGGCGTTGTGTTGGCATGTAGAAAACATCTACCATAATAAAGCCAAATCTACATTAATGTACAATAGAAGTTCTCATATCAGATTCTGCAATATATCAGATAAGCTTGTGTCATTGTCCGGTTTTTCAATAATCTCTAATTTCCGACGTAACGGGAAAGAATTTCTTTTCCTTTTTTCTTCCAGTTGAAGATTTTTCTGTGCGTGACATTAGGCATTGAGAAATTTAAAGTTACTAAGAATTATCAGCAAAAAAAGAAAAAAAAAAAAAACTTTAGAACATAGCATATTCCTACAACAGCTAAATGGCAACATTTAGATGTTCGGATATGAGGACGTTCGGATATGAGGATGTACGGATGTGAGATTGTTCGGATATGAGGACGTTCGGATATGAGGATGTTCGGATATGAGGATGTTCGGATAAG